CCCTATATTTTGAAATTTGTGAAAAAAAAACCCTCTTTTCCACTATCTTCTTCCTCCTCCTTCCCACCATCTTCTTCATTCCCTTATTCTTCCTATACCCTAACCTTGTCTCCTCTCTCACTCCATCTCTTACCTTATTTCATGGATAATCACAGCTTTCTGGTTTCCTTCATCTCCTCCAATCTCTTTTACTCCAAATCCCCAACATCTCCTCCTCTCTCCCATTCTCTCTTCCTTCTCTTACTCTTCATTTCTCTCACTCTCTCTTCCTACTTGATTCACCCACTACCAACACCCGAAATTAAACATTCCACCACAATCTTAACCTCATTCTTCTCTTCTTTTCTTGCACTCTCTCTTCCTCCTTGCTTCCTACTCCTCATTCATCCTCCAATTATTAAAGAAAGGAGAGAGAATAGTGACGATTGGGAAGAGAAAAGAATGCAAGAAATGATGAGAAGGATGAGGGAAAAGATGGTGAGAAGGGATAGAGATCGAGGAGTTCTTTTTACAAATTTTAAGACTTGAGGGGCTAAATCAGAAAATATGAGAAAATTTGAAGGGTTTACATAAACATATCTTAATTTTCTTGTTTAAAATTTGCTTTTGGTGACCGGAAAGGCTTATTTATCGTCAATTTATCACTTTTTATATCAAAGTGTCGCCGGTGTCACTTTTTAGGCCAAAGTAAAAAAGTAAAAAAGGGTGTCACTATTTAGGCCAATCTGGTATTTTAACCCTTTATAAATTATATAACACTCTAAACTAGTCTTACTAAAATATCATGACCAATGACAATTAGTTTGGGTTGTCACATCCTTCCGATGTTTAATTAGTGGGGGATCTGCACGTACTTTTGCTCCAGTTAAAACATGGTTAGATTTGAGCCTTTTGTTCAGGGCTCTTTTTTCTCTCCTAGATTGTTTTGTTAAACTCTTATTAATGAAATACAAGGTAGTTACTAGTTACTATTCCGTTTAAGGAAAAAATATTATACATATGGGTATTTTAGACTTTTTATCCTTCATGCTAACATTGTTAGTAGATTGTCTATATATTTTTGAAAGTTCACAATTATTTATATTTATATATACACTAAAGTTAACTGGATGAGCAGTATAGCGACAGTTCATCCCAATTATCTCATTATATAAAAAGATATGAAAATTTTGCAAAATGAGTAGATTGCCCCAGTGAAACTATTGTCTGCAGCCTGTGAAGACCAATAACTAAATAGGAGTGACTGCACTATTCACTAGGTCCATAAGCCAACAACTACATTCAAGAATGAAAATGACAAAAGCGGAGCTCAGCTGCTGAGCATAGACTAAAGGTCATTGAGATGTGAAGAAGGTGCCTACAATTTCCCTCCTTTTGATTTCAGAGGTGTTCCCTAGGACTCTACTCCTACTGGTGAATAACAGGAAGCCAAGTCAGAGCAAATTACTAGTGCGAACCATGTAGTTCAAGCTGTGTGCTTGGCAATATATTTTTTTGTATTTTTTTTACATAAACCTAAAGTTCCACCCAATTATTTTTATACACCCACTCTTCCAGTGGTTGTATATTACTAGCAAACCTGAAGCTTTACCCCCATTCGTTTTTGAATCCATCTACTTCTAGAATTTTACTAGAGTTTTTATCTATAAACCCAAAGTTTATTACAAGTTACTCTTAAGTCCACCGGCATCGAAATGGTCTTTTGCCTTTAAATAAAGTTATATTCCTATTTATTTTTAAACTCACCCACTTCTAGAAAGAGCAATTTCTCTATGAATCCAAAGCTTTATCCCTAATTTATTTTAAACTCATTCACTTCCAAAATCACACTTATATGTAAAATGCTTCATACAATTAATTAATATTTCAAACTCACTTTATATTTAAGATCAGTTTGATATGACATGTATATTAATATGTTTTGGTGTAATCTCCAGCATAGTTACACAATATAGTTTTAAATCAAATGCTCAAACTAATATCGTGCCATTGCGAGGATCAATTTTGCTCGTCTATCTATATTGGCAAACTTTAGTGAGGTTTACCTAAGAGGGTCTAGCCGAGTTGTTATGATGCGTAATACAACAAAGTCTCAGAATCGATTCTCCTAAAGAACACTCATAAGAATTTAATTTTCCTGAAATACCCAAGCTCATTCATTGAGGAGTGTCGTCAGAGTTTGATACCCATGCATGGTCCAAAGCATTATAGAGATGTTCTCTCGTTGAACCAAAAAAAAGTTTAGTGAGAGGTTTCATGCCAAACACTCGTAATTCCTGGAGGTTTTTAATGAAATTTACCATTTTTAGAACTATGTAAGAATTTTGGGGAAAGATTGATCATTGATGTTGACAATGGGAGGAAGAAAAGGGGCATGGAGATGTCGGCTAATGGAGTCTTGACTCGTTTGAGGTCGGCGTCAAAGTTATCACCAAGACAATTTGGGCTCTTGGCGTGACTAGCTTGTTTTCTTGTCAATACCTTTCCATGCACGCCTAAAATTTCTCGTCTTATGCACTATATTTAATTAAGGATAAATTACAATATACCCCTTGGTACTTTCAGTATTCCTCTGTAAACACCTAATAACCTTCAAAATTGTTTTAGAACCCCAATGACCTTTTAGAATTGCAGAAACTCTTTAATAACCTGCATTTTGCAAATAAGCCCAATAAATTAGAACCAAACAACAGCAAAGAGTGCATTTTTAAAGGTATTGGGGATTTAGGGTATTTTATGCAAAAGATGTTGAGGGTTTTCCAGAAAAGTTATTTGGAGTTCAATATGATTTTGAAATTTATACGGCTTTAGTCCACAACGTTGAAAGTGCTTGGAGGTTCAGTGTAATTTACCCTTTAACTAAATAATAATAGATACTTTATTCCTCCCTTGGTTTCTTTACTTTCATTTAGATTGCTTCCAAAGCATATTTCCTTTTAAATACATAGAACGGCCACCGAAATAATTGACTGTAGAGTGCAGAGTCAATTTTAACGTATAGGATCTAATTAGGGAGATTCGATTACCTTTTTTTTTTGATAGAAGAGATTCGATTACCTTAACTTTGGGGATTAACTATTTTCATTTTAAAAATCCCTCGAACATTGATGGCCTTTTGCACATAACCCTCTTTAACTTCTCTTATTCCACTATAAACATATCGAGGACTTTTCACCCTTAACCACTTAAAATAAAACCATCATGTTTAACGTGTCATGTGCTAAGCAAGTAGTAAAAAATATGATAATAGCCCTCAACCATTAAAAAGTTAATGGAAATGATAATAAAAAGATAAAAGAATGATCAAGTTTACATTAAAAAGTTAATGGAAATGATAATAAAAAGATAAAGGAATGATTAAGTTATTTCTTATTTTTTGCAAATAGATTCATTGATTGAAACTTTTTGACTCTTATATACAGTTATAGTGGGTCTATTTGTCAAAAATAAAAATTTCTCTATCTCAAAGAGTAGAAGAGTAGTAAAATTCACTTTGTGCCATTTGGCAAAGAGTTAAGTGAGGGGTTAATGTGACTTAATCATTCTTAACCCGCCAAACACAAAAAATTTATATTAGGGTTAAAGTGAGTTAACCCTCTATAATTTTCCGAAAATAAAAAATACAAAAGGTTACCGTCTCTAACTAAAAAAGTGTTATCAGAGATAAAACTCAAACTATCCCTGATATCAAATAAAGCTAACCCCTCTAGACGATTTAAAATGAGCTAACCCCTCAAAATGAGGGGTTTACCAATACTCCTATTTAGGAGGATTGAAAGTTAACCCCTCTAATAATAAAGAAAATAGTCAAAATCCTTATTATTTCCCAAACACTAAATGTGATCACAAGAGCTAAAATAAAACTTATATAATATATAATAAATTAATAATTTAGTTTTTCAGATTATCGAATGGGCATACCATATACTAATGCTTCTCCTTACTCGCTCTTTCTTAACCTTTTACGTACCAAACAGGGACTAAAACAAGAGAGATGGTTTGTTTAAAATAGCAATACTTGAAGGGTACATCCACAACATAGCTTTTCTTTTATTCTACTCTACTAATTATTAAATAATTTTGATTGGAAATTAAGTATTTTTAAATCTAAATTTGAAAATCAAAGGATGTAATGTGAAAGGAAACGAAATGATGGGCGCCGAGGTATAGTAATGTATCGGGAAATGCATGGAAGTCTTGAGGAAGTGGGGGTGGTGTAAGCATACTAAATAAATACTTAAAAATAGACTGGACTTGCCTCTAGCTATTCTGATAAAAGCTATATCATTCTTTATGCGAAGAAAAGTCAATTGGCAATAGGAGCTGTCTTTAAATATGTTGATGTTTATACTTATTTTAGTTAAAACGCACATGCATGTGGTACATATAGATATATTATTTACTAGGTATCAGTTGATTTAAGCCGAATTGCGTATTTTCATACCTCTATTTTCTAATATTTAATCTTCCTGAGTTCTCGTTATAATCGGATTCCACGATTGTTTTTATACACTTTTTATCATTGTTTCCGAAAGAAA